GATGCAAGAAAAGATATGATAGATACAGGAAACAATGTCTGTATATTCAAAGCGAAATATGAACCAAAAAACAAGACACTTTCCTATCAAAACAACTGTGTCATTACAACAAGGGAATTAAATTAATGTCCCTCTAGATTTTTCTCATATTATCTTCTATTTCACAACCGGGTCCCTGATAAGCCTAGTTGTTAGGGCGCAGTGCTCTCGTCGCTGCGGCCCGGGCTCAAGTCAGGGTTGTGTCAGGAAGGGCATCCAGCGTAAAATACGTGACAAATGAAACCATGTGAATTGTCAGCGTGATGACTTGCTGTGGTGACCCTTAACGGGAAAAAGCCGAAAGTGACATTCATTCACATCCTCTATTTTATCAGACCACTCGGGGGGGAAACTAACATTCCAGCCGAAGTGACGGCTCTCTATTTTAAATGTTTTAGGCCTGGTGTTAATTATAGTTACAATTGACTCCTGGTTGTTTTAACCTACAGGAAATGTTAATTAAGCTCACAAACACTTCATAATCAAAACAGAGAAGTGGCCAGTATTTTTTAGTTATTTTTTCCTGATATTACATTTAAAAAATATGACATTTTTGGTCTCTGGATGTCTTTACTGCAGGAACTGAAGGAACTTAAGCCGTCAAGCAGCCAAGGGGTTACCAGTGTCGGTAATTTCACAATGAAGAAAAAAACAAGGAAATCATTAAGACACCCCCAAGAGACTGACAGAAGAGTGTGTGACCTGTTCACAAAGCTAGACAAATGTCGTATTTAGATTATGTTTAGCCTTGCAAGATAAAACATTTCAAGTATGAGGACCATCTTTTCCCTGTATCAATACTATGGAATACTTGGAAACTTTCTCAACAGCACCACTCTGAAAATGTTTTGCTTTTTCAAAAACAAAGTGATGGAAAATGGGGGTGTCTTATAATAATCACCATAAGTTCCATCCAGTGCAGTACTATTAAGTTTTTTCCATGAATGAACTAGTGACAATAACATATCTACATAAATCTACATTGACATTACACTAAAATGTAAAAAAGTAGCCTGCATGATTCAGATTCTTTATGCTGTGCTTGCTTCATTTAAGTAGCAGAAATTATACTGAATAGTAGGCTAAAAGCTAGTCTTTCAGTAATATGTTGGCTTTGACAACATACAGTGCACTAGAGATGGTTCCTTGCTCCTCGATGGACCTGGAAGGATGTCCCAGAGCTCTTATTTATTCTCTGAGATGTGAAGAGCAAAGAGGCAGCCTTAAGGAGCTATCAGAGTGGATATAGGCTTTGTGAAGTCTTTTGTGTAATGGTGACTGGATGATTTAAATGAAGAATCTGAGGACAGGACATTTCATGTCTCTAAAAAACTGATTGCTGGATCCCTCTCTCCTCGCATTTTTTTCCCTTGCATCTTACATGGTCAGGGCTAAGACACGAGGAAAAGATGCAAGTGAGGGAACTGTGAATGAACTTAAGGGAACTTAGATTTACCCCTAGATGTCTGTTTTCTCCTCAACATTTCTCTTTAGTTCTTACCACAGCGAGAGCCTTTGCAGCTTCCCTGTGAGCCTTTGTTGCTGCCAAGGCTATCCCCCCTGGTAAGAATGGAGATGCCAGAGAAGCTGCTGGCCTTAGTAACAGGCGGCCGGAGGGTGCGGTTAGAGCTATCGGAGTCAGTGCTACTCCAAGGCCGTGGCTCCAGGCACTTCATGTCACTGTCTGTGCTGCTTTGACGACTGCTAGATGCTCTACTGGAGCTCTCACGATTCCCTCTAAGAGGAGACAGAATGGGGACAAAAGAGAGAGAGAAAAAGAAATTAAATAATGGACATAAAATGGGGATAGACACAGGAAAGGGGGAAAAGGAGTTAAAGTTGAGAGTTTGGAGGTAGCAAGTGAGAGATGTGTGCAAATTACACAGAGCAGAGTTGAAGGAGAGGACAGAGACAGAAATGCACAAAGGGTAGGATAAAGAGTATTTCAAAAAAAAGGAAGATGTGCACATAGCAGAAACTGAAATAAAAACTAATGTAGATGAAGGCAGAAACATAGTGACAGTTAAAAGACAATATAGGACAGCGTAGAGAAAATCTGACAGGCTTTAAGATGGGGCATTCAACACAGATGCATACTGGCTGGTTAAGAGAAACCACAATACAAACTCAGGCAACAAACCACCAAACAAGATTAGTCCTTATTTTAAACATACAACCAAACACACATTCACACAGTCAAACCCATCCATAGTGGGGAAATACACATGCAGGAAGAAAAGATGTCCCAGACAATCAACACTGGGATGTAAGAGGATATTAAAATGACACTGAATGAGACAAACTTACATAACTGCAACACACAACCCATCTAAGACTAGAGACAACATTCACATAAAGGACTGTACAGAATGAGCACTTGCATCCATACATGGTATACACTTGATTGCAGTTAAACAGTTACACACATGCTTTAAAGTATGTTATATTAAATATAAGGAATCACAGAGAAACGAGACGTACATCTGTAAATACACCTGACTGTAAAAACATACATAAACGTTTACATTAAGAGCAGATGTACATCAACACTCAGACTCACACACACTATTTACAAAATAACTACTTTCTACCACTAGTTCACCACTACGATTCTTTAAACTATATTGCTGTATACACACTCATTGTGTTGTTGTGATGCTGTCACCCTGGATAAGGGTAGCTGCCAAGAAAACCAATGATCACACTGTAAGCGTAACCACCACTCTGAAGAGACCAAGCCACGCCAGCTGTAAAAAAAACTTTTTGAATCCTCTTAGAACTAGAAGAGGGCGATGAACAGAGTATGTACGCGTAGAAAGAACAAGCATAAAATGAATTAAAAACATGTAAGGGAGGTTGTAGCAGTCTCCATGGCAAAAACAGTGATGTGGTAAGGGCTGTAAAACCCTAGTGATAGTGAGCGGCGTTTGAAGGTGGCTGTGGCTAATAAATATTTCAAAGACTGTAATTAATGGAAGATCTATTTTGAGTCCTCTCTCTGTACAGCCTATTTTAAGGAAGGGTGGGTGCTCTGCCATTCTCTGCACTGGCAGGCACACATGTGTTCACTTCGCTCTGCAGACAAAGATGAGAGCAGGAGGAGGGATTCTGCTCTTGGTCACATGACATTTCATTTTCACTCTCTCCTCACGACAGCATTCCCCATCACACGCACAAACAGGAGAAGCAGGGAACCTATACTGCTGCTGTTTTGTGCTTCTATCACTCTGTCTTTATTAGGTGCTAAATGTCTCAAAGAGCTTCTTTGCATTATCTCAGGTCTGCCATTTTTGGCATCCTTACATGCATTCAGCTTGTACTGCATAAAAAGGTTGTAGTTTAAATGAATACTGGCCTTGGGTTATCAAACTCAGTTTTAGGTTAAATGTAAAAAAGGCTAAAATAAGATGCCAGACATCAAATATACATCATGAATCCAATTTTAGATTGTATTGCATGTAAACCTCTGAAGAAACTGATGATAGTGAACAAATGGTTAGTTAATAAGATGATTCAAAGGTTGAAAGGATGAAAAATGTGTCTTACAATTAGACAAAGTAAAAAATTGTGCAAAAAGCATTACAAAATTTAAAAGTGGGCCAATTTTCAAACCCTCTAAATTACGCGTAAGCACACAAGTAATGTTTAAAACAGTGTATACCACACACTTTTATATATTCAAAGCAGGAAAAAGCATGTATGGTTAAAATCTAGAGCCAAAACAATTAGACCGTTGACAAAATTGTCAATATGTTGATGATTACTTAAGTAATTTTAAAAGAAAAAAAGAAAGCAACAAATATGTGAATTTGGACTCTGGGAAATGCGGGCCTTTCTCGCTATTTTCTGATATTAACTGGAAGATAACAAGAAAAACGGTCTTTTCTTCACAGTCTTGTCAGTTCAAAAGCACTACTGCATGTGTGTACTGTGTACATATTTGTGTGTGATACTAAGCAACAGGTGACGTTAACAAAAACTACAAGACTAAGTCAACCACAAAACAAACAGGTTACTGTGGAAGCAATGCAGTAACTTTATGTAATAAATGCAGTTGACAGTGGATGGGTGAAAGGGTAAGTAGGTCAATCAGTCCCCAGTGAAACCACAAAGCAGCCATGCATGGGTCATAGGAAGCCCCACGGTGCAGTGCTGGAATTGCCACCAATCAGCCGAGTACGCCAAGCAAAGATATAAATACCACCACAAATCACCACTATCATCACCAAACCACTTTCAAAAAATGGGCATGGCAACACACAAGTCAAAGTCAGCAGCACCCCAATACCTAAAGATCTGCCTCCTCTTTTGAGAGCTAGAGCAGTAGCCCTCAATGGAAAGTCTGTTGGGGTTAACATTAAGAGAAAATGCTAGGGTTACAGGACTGGATTGGAGAACAGGAAAGAGTTTAAGGTAGGGTGGGATAAGGAGGTATGGGAGGTAGAGGTAGGCACAGTATTGCAGAACCAGAAACCGGGCCAGAAACTGACTGCTGGAAAGTGAAAGCTTCCTTTCTCTCATCTTATTATGTCCTAATCTTTCAACCTCAATGGCCAGGGTGTCTAGGGATGGAGGCTGACTGTAACTGCTGTGTGAGTCAACTTATTTCTAGAAAAGATGTCTTCCATTACTTACAAATCTGACTAAAACACAGAATGCCCCTCAGTCAGTTTCAGCATAAAACAACCCTTTTTAAAATTACTACAAAATTCTGGCATTGCAGAGGATAAATGCATACTGATTATTTGTATGGACATAAGCAGAATAAGACAATTAAGCGTTTTATTTTTCTATTCTCGGTTACCTGCAAATTTTATACAAGGTCAACTTTGCCAATCTTTGCAGACTCCAAGATGTCTGATTTGTACAGACAATCAATATATACTGTTAAGTTTGCTATGTTTATGGGTCTATAGTACCGCATCTCTTATAACTGAAAACAAGCAAAATACAGCTTTAAGGGGAAAGGTGGAGAGGATGGAGTTTTAACTGCACACTAGAGTCTCCAGTAGAATGCATAATCTTACCTGTTGTCATTGATGTATCCATTTTGAGAGGACTGTAAAAAAAAGGACACCTGCACATTATGAAATGCTTCATTCATCCTGAAGCACTTAAGATCAACATTTTTCCGCATATCAACCTCTTAGAAGTTTTTAAGTTTGACACCATATGTATTTAGGATGAACTGCATCTTAAGGCAGTGATTTGCAATCTGAGGGACAGGATAAGTGATCACAACAGGAATCAATGGTCATAGGATGATAACTAGCATACAAAATAAAGAATAAACAAAAGGGTAGTAGTTTGTAACTTCTCTAATCTTTGCTCTTTTCTTGTCAAACACTATATAAATTTACCTCCTCAGATCTTTAAAAACTCTCTAAAAATAAAACTGTTGAAGAGGATATTTCACAGCACCAGTTTTTAAACTGTTATTTTCTAATCAACATATAGTGACATCTCACCGTTCAAAGGAGCTGAAGGCTAACAGCTGATGAATGTGGAATGGACTGTGATTAAATGTTAATATGTCCGTGCCAGTGTTTGTTACTCTGCCCAAGTCAAATACTTACTTCTCGGGCAAAGATCCGGTCTCGTACCCGCTGATACTCCTCCTCTCGCTCTTCAATGGACTTGCTACGCCGCCCATCCTGCAGCGGCACACGAATCTAACATTTGGAAAAACATGACAATGGATTAAAAAAATTAAAAAAAATAAAAAACAAAAAAAACACTAATATACTCAACTGACAAATATACCCTATACTTACTTATGTAAGTGTAATGTAAATACTTCATTAGCCACACTATAGCCACAGCCTGCTGTGGAGATAAGTAGCATCAACCCACATAACAAAAACATGTGAAGGACAACAGCTGACTGCTGTCAAAACAAAAACAGCAGAATGGAGTGTCTTGAGGGGCAGAACCAGCGTGGGAAGCTGCAACTCCACACATGCAGAATCATACAAGGGATTATGACAAATGTGTACAAGCATTCAACACAAAACAAGTGTCACAGCTTGAAACAGACATTGTTCGAAGGAATGAAGTGCAAGTTGCTTCAGGTTAAAGTGGGGGGGGGGGGGAGGAGTATTAAAAATATGATATAACAAATATAATGGTATGCAAAGCAGCCAACCTGATTATCGTCCTTGTCCATGCTGGCATCATCTCTCTTAAGGATGAATTTCTTCTGAAAGTCCATGTTACGTTCATCTTTTATGTGTTCAGAGAACCTTTGCTCTGGGCTGTAGAAAAAGTGATTGTGACAATGTTAGCACTTCAAATCTGAATCTGCTCAGATATGTTTGTCCACTCTCATTTTCAGTTTCATAATATTTTACTGCATACCTACACAACTAAAGTGCATCTGGTTATTATTAATCCTATCAACAAACACTAGTAGTTCTACTGGCTTCTGAAAAATTCAATGACATTTCAACTTTTAAGTTGTCAGTCATGAAAAGTTGTTCCTCTAAAGGTTGAACACTGAAAAGTTGATTATAATTGGGGTCATCAATGGCCTGTATACCAATTCTGTAGAGGCCATTGATGAACAGCTTCTGCTGCTGGTACAAATAATACATCTACAGTTGATAGTCAGATGTTTGGACATAACCTTCTCATTCAATGGTTTTTCTGTGTTATTTTCAACATTGTAGATTGACACTAAAGACATCAAAACTATAAAATAACCCATTTAATTGGGCAGTAAATTCTGAATTCTCTTGGCATTCTCTCAACCAGCTTCAGGTGGTAGTCACACCTGGAATATTTTTCTAGCAGTCTTGAAAGGAGTCCCACAAATGCTCAGAACTTATTGCTGCTTTTCTTCACTATCAACTGAGTTTAGGTCAGATTACTGTGAGGTCATCTGATGCAGCACTCTATCACTCTCCTTTTTCAAATAGCCCTTGCACATCCTGGGGGTGTGTTGTGGACCACTGTCCTTTTGAAAAATAGATGATGGTCCAACTAAGCACAAATAAAATGTGATGACGTGTCAAGCCAGAATGTTTGGTAGCCATGCTGGTTAAGCATGCCTTGCATTCTGAATAAATCCCTGACAGTTTCACAAGCAAAGCACCCCCCACACCATCACACCTCCTCCCTTCATGCTTCACAGTGGGAGCCACATATGCAAGTACCATCCATTCACCTTCTCTGCATCTCACAAAGATACAGTTTGGAAAAAGAAATCTAACATTCGAACCAAAGTACAGATTTCCACTGGTCTAACATTCATTCATTGTGTTTCCTGGCCCAGTCAAATCTCTTCTTCTTGTTAGTCTCCCTCAGTAATAATTTCTTTGCAGCAGTTTGACATGAAGGCCGCACTGTCCTCCAAACAGCTAATGTTGAGATGTGTCTGCTACTTGAACTCTGGAGAGCTCTAATCTGAGGTGCCGTTAATTGGCCATTTCGGAAGTAGGTAACAGCAACAAACTTACCATGTAAAGCAGAGGTAACTTTTGGTGTTTCTTTCTTAGAACGGGCCTCATGACAGTTTTGCAACTACAATTGATAAGTCTTTCAAAATTGTTGAAATTTTAAATTTTAACTGACCATTATCTCCTAAAGTAGGGTTATTTGCTGTATATACCATCCCTTCCTCGACACAACACATGATGGCTGATGGTCTTAAATGCATTAAGAATGCAAGTTCAAACCAATTTACTTTTGACAAGGCACACCTGTTATGTCCAAAAAAAAAAAAAAACATTCCAGGTGACCACCTCATGAAGCTTGTGTGCAAAACTGTCATCTGGAATATAAAATAAGAAAAATGTTTTGCATTATTTAACACTGGTTGGCTTTCTACACAATTCCATATGTGTTATTTCAAAGTTTTATCTTCATTACTGATCTAAAACGCAGAAGAGAAAGGGAACAAAGAAAAACATTAAACAAGAAAGTGTGTCCAGACCTTTGGCTTGTACTGTATGTATGTCTACCTAAATTACCAATGATAGCGCATTTATTACCTACACATTTTATTTAATAGCAGTGGCTATGGGATATAACCCAACTTTAAACAGCCTGTTTACCAAGTTTCTCTCTCTGCCTGAAGTGTGAAAAGTGCACTGTGTTTTTTGCCATTCATTTGAGTGTTGTGTTGAATCTCTTAGTTGCATTCAGGGCCCGAATTGGTTTCATTTCTCAGGAGTATTGATATTCTGTTGGCTTTCAGTCAAAACAGGTTTTAGTTCAGCTACAGGTTGCTGCTTTGGTGAAGTTTAGGCTCAGGCTATTCGTCATCCTACTCAGAGTTCATGACTGCAGGATACTTCTGTTACTTTCATCCTGTGTTTCTTGTGTTATCACAGAATCCTCAGCCACAAGGGCGTGTTACTGCATATTCCCTTGAGATTGTTTACATTACTTATGTAGTTCCTGTATTGTCTATATTGTGTATGTGTATTAATGTTCCTGATTTCATTTAAAAATAATAGTCCATAGCATGACCCATTTTAACATCACTACAATCCTAGTATTTGGATTTTATGAAAGTCAGAAAAACTATAGTGTTTAACTGTTTTTAGTGTAATTTCACTACATTCTGTTAATGCCTACACTCTATAAAGATTAGGAAAGGTAATTCTAAATCTGAGTTTCTCGTAGCTTTAAGAGAGTAGCTGCTGAAGCCAGAACCAATGCAGAAAGTACACTAACATGCGTGTGTTGCCCGTCTTGTTGATGATGACAGCCTTGCCCGTCTGATCCACATTGTGGTCCATTCCAAAGTAGGCAGCCACACGATGCAGCAGCATACGGTGATAAGAAGTCATCTGAGGAAACTTCTTATACTGATTACTGCAGGTGACACAAAAGACAAAATTGTGAGTATGATATGCTATTTTCAACACTGTATTGCAATGGGCTGCCAATTACTAAATCAAAAGTAATTAATTAGTCAAAAGTTTTCTCTTAGTTGGATGCTTTCATATCCACTGTCAATTTCTTTAAAGCCCTTAAAATAATTTGAGAAAGACATGGATTCTCACATGTACAAAACTGATTGGCACTTTAAGAGCTTCTGTGAACACTCCAGTAGAGGATTCACCGGGATCATTTTTGAAACATACGAAGCTACATTTTTGATATTTTCTAAAGAACAGTGGTAAATATTCATATCTTATCCTTCTCTAACTGAAATACCTCCTGTTGTCAAGAATCCCACAAAAAATATCCTTTCAAAAAAGGTTTAGGTTGATTTTTTTAAATTCTGAGGTGTCTGACAAGCTGGCAGTCACACTTTGGGGACAATTCATTTGACACAAGAGGACTCCAGGCAGATTTTAAATTTTGGTTTCTCATTAGCTCAGCAGTCTATAAATAAAAAAAGATATGGATGTAGAGGAGCTAAATTTAAATACAAGAAGGTGGTTACGAAAAATGTGGCTTACTTGTCGTCATTAATGAACTCCAGGATATCTTGTTCTAGTTTGAGCAGCATCATTCGATCCCTGCTGGGCCAAAGGAGGAAAGAGAGAGGAGGGAATGGATCAGGGACTAGAGTGTTGCCAAACAAAAATCAAAGATATGATGTACAGTAATAAATACTTTCAATAATAACTATCACTTCTGTTTATTTTCTGCTTTGCTCTTGTCATTACAGCTATGTCTAAGTCAGTCTTTGGTGGCAATCATATACCTAGGATTGTTTTTCAGTGTGTTGACCAGAAACTCGTGAACGTCGATGCCCGTGGAGTCAGTGTATTCCTGACTGGAGTCTAACAGACGAAAACAAGAAAGAGAAGAAAAGTTTGATAGCGAGTAGGAAGAGAGCAGGTGACACTTCCATAAAGCACAAGTAAGATAGAGTAAAGTCAGATTGCTACTAAGCATAGCTCCTAAAATGACAGCCCAACACTCCTGCAACGACTTTCCAGTTTGCTCAGGGAGAATAAATGAAGAAGCAGGTATCATAAGATACTGGCTAGCTGATCTATGCTTTTATGCCTAAAGTACACTCTTCAGTATATCATTTTTCAAAACTTTTCACTATACTGGACAGTTGAGCTAGCCATTTTTTATCTGTTCATCTCAGAGTCTAATGATGCCTCAGGGCCTCTGAAGAAAGAGGGAGTGAGGCAAGTAATCTAAAAAAGAAGACAGAGATCACATCTTCTTCCAGAGAAATTAGCTTGACACCATATCACTTTGCATATTAATAAAACAGTGGACATCATGTTTATATGTAACAGTCATGACATATCAAAACCTATAAGAGTTATCAATGCATATTAGTTAAGATAACTACACAGGTTTGATTAAGTCCAGAGCAACAGGTTACAAAATGCATTTAACCTCCAAAGCTGCACCTTACCACGTGATAGCATCTTTCGTGGAGTCTTATCCTTCTTCTCTTTCTCTTCATTTTCATATTCATCCTTAGAAGACTTCTCCTCCTCCTTGTCTGATGGACAGCTGATGTGAAGCTGAATGACATCCTGGACAACCACATTACATTGCTATGACAAGGCTGCTAATTTTTTTCTAATTTTGTTAAGTCTATAATAAATATAAATATAATAAATCCTAGATAAACTGTAGATAAAACAAAAATTGCAAGCTAGGCTTACGGCGAGGTATGGACTAAGGTTAGTGACAGAAACAGTACCGACTCTGGAGGTCCATCACTGGAGAACGGACCACAGGACTCTTCACACACTGCCAGACTCCGTACCAGCTTCAGTTTGGCATTAGACTTAAAAAACAAAACAAAAAAAACAAAAAAAAGTCACATTGATTATCTGTAAAGCTCAGTTTTTGTTCTTGAGACATGCTCACAAATTTTTTTTTTGCTTAATAACACTGATTATTGTAGTTCACAATTACCCCAGTCCTCTTAAAACAACAAGAAAATCTGCCTTTACTATGAAGTAAAATGAGGAATAAAACAAATGAAATGCTGCTTCGGCAACATAAAAAGATCTCCCTGCAAGCTCTCTGCTTTGGATACAGGTCCTTGCTCATTCACTGTAAAATCTATGGTCATTTGGAGCGTTTGGGGGCAACATTTTAACAAATATGCAGGTCTTGTGTTTCATAATGAAGAAATATGTCACCTAGTGCAGCGGTGTATCTCTGTCACGTGTTTTTAATCAATTTTTAAAACAAAACAGACAAATAAGCTAATCCGGGTTGGAGACAGAGACATTAACCCTAAGTAGAAGCAATTCATTGCTGGTTTTAGTCCTTGCATGGGGATTGCTGAAAATACTATTAATAGAAAGTGAATTATAGAAAATGACTAGCTTTATCCTTTAACTCCTTCATGAGGTTTAAAATTTTAAGCCAGTGATAAAAAGGAGGTGGTCCAATGCTAAGAGGAGTACAATGTTAATAATGGAAGGTCTTCCTATACAACGAAACAGGGGTGTTATTTCAGGAATTGGGATAAAAAAAAAATTATTATACAAGTTACTTGAACAAAGATGAGTATTTATTTTTTAGCAAAAGCAACACACACAAAAATAACTTACTTTTGCCCTTTTCCTGCCATGGCTGTGGTTAGGAGCCCGTTTCTGCAAGAAAAAATTGTTGTCTTTATAATAATGTACACATTTAAACATTTATTTGTTTTTATCTGATTATTTTAGTGTTTTTGTGCACATTAACTTTTGGTATATAGACTCACAGTTTTATAAATGAGAATCCAGTTGTAAAGAATAAAGATGAAAATGTTTAACTTTTAGTTGTCCCCTGACAATATATATATAACACTGGCTTCAAACAGTATTCAGGACCCTTCACATTTTGCACACTTTGTCATTGTGGGTTATTAAGTATAGGTTGATAGATGAAATGGCAAATTTGCCTATTTAAAATAAAATTTACAAAACAAAGTTTTATTTGCAAATTTACTTAAAACCAAAAACTGAAATCTCCCATTTACAAAAGTATTCAGACAGTACATTGAAGAAGCACCTTTGGCAGCAATTACAGCTTGAATATGGTTGACAGTAGGAGAAACAATATTACAGACCAGCTAAACATGCTGGTTTTACTCATGCCATGTAATTCAACAGCATTTAAAATGCAATCCAATTTCTTGCAATGAATTTGTTTTATTCAATTATTCAACAAAGCCATCATTGTAATATAACATGTAATGGTTTAAAATTCCTAAAAATAATTTTGCATTATCAATTTTTCCTACCTGTGCGTCCTGTGGGGAGATATCCTCCAGCTCCAGGCCCTCTCCTGTCCCCTCTTTGGTGCCCTGTGGTTGAGGGGAGGTCTTGCCTCGACTGCAGGGCTCGATGAGTGGTCCACTCTCTCCTTCCTGCTTGATGTCTGGTGTCAGGCTCACTGACATCTTCTCAGGGGAGGGGGAGAGGGTGGGAGTTGGGGAGGGGGTTGGGCGGAGAACCCAGGAGTGGCTGAAAGAAGAGAGGCAAAAGGAAAACAAAAATTCTAGTGTAACAGTTTTAAACACCAAAAGGCAGTGTCTTTTTGACAATGAATTACCAAAGCAAAAGCATAGACAGAGCACATGCAGCATATTTGTGAGAGTGTACTACTATAGCAACTACAGTACCTGTATGCAGGATCAGATGTGTGCTGGACTCTGTACAGTGAGTCTGGATGGGAACAACACACAGGAAGACAAAGAGAACCCACTACAGTAGGGTATGGGGTAGTACTGCAGCAGGGGGCGAAACACAGTCCATAATAAGCCTTAGCCTTCAGGGTGGGGCTGTGAGAAAACAACATGAAGAAGGAAAAAATGCTAGAATTGTAAAAAGACTTACACATTTTCTTTAGAGCACATTATTTTCCTTTAAGAGGTTTGTTCTACTACTTGTTAAGAATAAGCTGCCTCAAACCTACCCACAATTTGACAATGTTCAAAAATAAATGAATAAATTCAGTACACATTGCTGGTTACAAAGTAATATTATCAACATGATTAATTTTAATTTCTAATCAAAATAAGTTGTATAACCCAATCATAACCAAAATGACATCTACACTGCTTATACTACACCTGACAACTGTAATAGATGAAACAGACTGGATTTTTTTAATCATCTAATTCATTATATTCAGGTTGGTTCTAATATGGAAAAGTGAAGTGGAAAAGTTGTTTTATAACTTTTACTTTCTTTTATGTAGGAAGGAATTTTAGCACAAGCCAAAACTTACAGTTACAGAAGAATCTTCTCTGAAATTAATTTTGTTTAATTTCCCAATATGGGTACAAAAGAGTTCTGAAACAGGTTATTGAACAACATTACAAAATATACAACATGCACATATGAAAAAAGGCAGTAATTCATTTTAATATTTACAGTGACCAGGTGAACTGAAGAGGCCGCAGTTAGCCAGCCAGACAAGGGGGAGGAGCACACCGACAGGCCAGCTACCACCTCAGCAGTCCTCCAAGGCCTCTCTCTTCTTTCCCTCTGACTCACTACAGCAGCATGGTTTGTCCTCCAGAAGCCCTGGACACCAAAAGCAGAAGAGGAAGACACGAATGACGTCATGTTTCACATGCTGAATGACTCATCACTGCTACTGCTGCTGATCCTTGCAGGGAGGGGGATGAAGTAGCTGGAAGCTCAGAGCTCACTGGCACACAGGGTTTTCAAATGAGCAATCTTTGTTATTTGACTTTGTCACTGCTTAATATTAAAAAGATATGACAGGATGGGCACCTCACCGAATGGAAAATGTGGAAAAGGTCAAGTTAAAATATTTCTTTCCCCTTAAATTCATAGAAGCAAGTGTCAGACATTTAAATTGAGGTCCTACAGTTGCATTTCTTTCATAATTTACTATTAGTAGCAATACTTGAAGGTATGTCTCCAAATTTTGGGAGTCTGTCAGACACCTTTGCGAACTTTATCCGCTTTAACAAAAATACAAAAAAAAATTTACTAAATAATAAGATATATTGTCATATTGGTAATTTGCCATACAAAATGCAGTGCAGGACTGGAAGAGGATGAAAGTCATCACTGGCCTTACCCACTCAGGTCAGTCAGATTTGGTTGAATACAGAACATTATACACACACACACACACACAAACCCCCCCCCTCCCTGCCGTTTCTATTTTAAACCCTCCAGACATCCTCCATCTGCAAGCTCCTCTTAATTTAACTTCCATCAATCAAAAATCAACTTATACTTTGGCTTCTGGCATCAACAACAAAAACTGTCAACGCAGCAATAGCTACAATGATCACTTCTTTATGACAGGCATTCTCTCTTGTCCTCACTTCTTCTAAATTACATCACTAAACACATTTTCTCTATATAGAAAATCATAACACATAAGCACAAATAGCTCTGGGAGAAATGCTGGCTCCAAAGCAGTAACTGATGCCTTCAGCATAACATTCATACACATAAAGACAATGCAGATGGATAACAATACATCTGTCTGATAGGCCTAGCTATATCATCTGGTATAAAAGGTCAATAGCAGCAGCATTCATTGTGAATCAGACCAGATTTTGCAGCCCTGTCTCTCTTGCAGAGCTCAACAGATTCAAAAAGCACCCACCTACACTACAGGGGAAAGTTGAGGAACGCTGTACTTTATGCAAACATCCTCTGAGGCAGTGTGAGCAACAGCCAGGCGAGAGCCAATCACAATCTTATCGATTCAAACGAAAACTGAAAAACAGAGTTGTTCACTGCTCCACTCCCATATGTGAAGAAATGGAGAAAGAAAAAAAAAACATGCTGCAGTCTACAGCTTCCCAGTTCTTTACGATGTGTCTTTAACCAGTTAGCAGGACATAAAGAAAAAGTGTGGAAACAAATCACAGATACTCATAGCATTACATACTTCTGCAGATATGTCAGAAAGCAGTGCATGTAAATTATGTGCTCAGCACAACGCACCTCTAGAACTACAGATTCACCTAAGACATGATACAGTCAGCTACTTTGTGTTGTGCTGTGCTGCAGGACAGATGAGATGAGTGAAAAATTGAGACAGGGATTTCCAGTGTGGGGAAGACTCAGGCAATGCAACAGCAAAGGCGTCATCAGCATCAGCATTACACCAAGGACCCCCCCATCCCCAAAACCATCCCTGCTTAGGCAACCCTGCCATAAGGCATCACAAAATACAAAAACACTATCTACTGTAGGCAGTTACAAATGCCCGATTCAATCACGTCAAAATAATCTCCTGCTTTTTCTTGCTGACACACACAGTATACTGAACTAAAAGAATTAATAGTTTTGGATTAGAAAGCAAAGATAGTCTTGTCAAGTGTCATTCTCATGGCTGAGTGGACAAAATTTTGATTCAATGCTGGAGATGGAGAGCTTATGAATAAAACAGCTTTACCTAAACTCTCCTCCACCACCCATTCCTCTATGTCCCCTCAGCTCTCATCAACATTACCCCTGCTTCCCTCATCACACACAAACAGGGTTGCCAAGGAGATGGTAACGTCATTCTCAACTGCTGCCATTTGTGTTGAGCGAGTACCAGGAGAAGGGCAGAGAGAAGAATGATATTAAAAATAAATACATTTATTATAGTATGCACAGACTGAGAGGGATGAAAACAGAGAAGCAGAAAGAACAATGCAAAAAAAAGAAGTGAGAGACCAGGACCTCCAGTTTCTTCTTCTACAAGTTCAGGCAACCATAGCCTGTTATACAAGCAATCTGGATTCGTAGTCATCCAGTTCATGGGATATCAGGTAGAAGAAAGTCAAATGAGAGCTGATAAAGTCTCTCAAGTAAGTAATGAAGTCTCTTTAAAAACTTAAGTCCAGTTGACTTCAGCCTATTACTATTGGGCTGCATTCACATTACCTGCTGAAGTGGTCCAAATCAGATGTTTTTCAAATCAGATCTATTCACACGTTACCAAACCAACTCAGATTTTTCATATCGAACCTGGACCACTTGCATAAGTTGTCCTAGGCCCAATTCATATCCCATCTCTGATTCAGCCTAGGCAATCTGTACCATGTCCAAGCAAATTTGAACCCCAAAGTCCTATCTATTTGACTAGCATGATTGTGCTGGGCAAGGTTCAGCTGGACTTGCGCGATCAGTTAGATAGCTAACCATGTCTGGAACTCAAATGTTATGTGTTATGCAAGAGCGCTTCTCTTCAGTTGCATTGTGGTGATGCAAATATGTTTCAGTCCAGATCATTTCAAGTGCAGTGAGAGCACAGGCCAGCAGGGGAGTAGGCAACCATGCCTAGTGTGAGTACACACCAAGCCACTGCTGATCAGACTGAAAATCTTTTTTTTTTTTGTTTTGTCCCACTCCTCTGTGAGCGAGACAAAAATTCTGTCATTTTTTAGCAATGAGGCCTCACAGGCTGGTAAAAATAAACAACAAGGAGAGTAACAACAAAGATAGGGTTAGTGGAGACGGAAGGAGATTTCAAATTTGTTGAACATGGAAAAGCTTTTGTTCAAGCCAAAGTGGAAATATATCATAACTGAGCAGTTTTTGAAGAAAGTGGACAATTTCACCATCGAACAATTCATGTTGTTATTCTTGTACACGCAGCTCACATTTCAATTAAATCTGCACACGCATGGAAGTTTAGGGCCTCAATGGAGTTCAAACCGCAACCAGATACACATCACTTGTGCTGGTGCAATGCTGACCAACGGGTCACTCTTTCGTTTATATCAAACATGATGAAGAAATGTTATTATTAACCCTTGGCATACAGGACTGAGTCATATTCATTAAATCCTTGAGTAAATCAATATCACAATGAATAAGCTAACATTAGCATATTGGCTTTCACACTTAATACAACACAGTCTACGCTACTATATGCTCACACTGAGCAATGATATTTTATTTAAAGTCAATTTACTCTCTATCACCTAAGAAACAGTCACACATTCATATGAATGATTACCACACAAAACCCTGAATCAACAAAGACGTGGCTATGTTTGGGTGAAAATCACACCTTACAAATAAAACCCAGACGATGGTTGACTAGCAGTTTAATTGTGTAGCTGTGCTAGGAAGTTTTGTTTGCATCAGCAAAAACTACATCACAGCTCTGAGCAGAGCAGATGAACAAACTGAAATTGCTACTAGTAATGCTGCCCGATTGATGGAAAACGGTGATGATCGTAATTAGCTCAACACCAGCTTCATGTTACTATAGTACCATGGTTCCAAGCCTATTCCTGCTCCTGCCAGGACTGCACACTGCAGACTCGATAACTACAAAACCACCTTTGCCTGTTGTGTTCCAGTTCAGTCAATATGTCAGTGGGCCTGATGTAGACATCTCACTGCTAACTATCTGCATTATCACATGTGGCTATAGACACACAGGACAGCTGATTCACACAAGACATGGGACAGTTACATAACTGAAAAAGAGGTTATCCATATTATGATGGCCTTATAAACACCACATCAACAGGCTGGTGTAATACAGCAGGATCAACCACTTACTGCACATATACATTTAGCCCTATATTGCTAGTTGTCCATTTCAAGAAACAACTTTTTTATGGGAGCAACAATTAACTGAATCTTGTTATAGTCTGCCACTCTCTCCACAAAAGAGCATCCTTCAAAATTCAGATCTCCATTGTGCCACTCAGAATTATCACAGAAACACAGAACCAAACAATAAAGTGATATTACAGACAACCACTCTTGCATCTCAGACACTTTCACATATGAAACATTACTGTTGCATGTGTCACTACAAATGTGTCTTTAAGACAGTTACTCAGCCCCACTGACAATGTGTTATTCCATATCTTACAGTGTAAGTTCCAATAAAAAAAAACAGAGCTTTTTGTAAAGAGGTTCCCCAACATTTGCACAATTGTACAGTAGATGTGCCACACATGCAAACACACACACACCACTCACAAAAAAAATAAATAAATAAATAAATAAATAAAATAAATAAAACACTTCCTCAGCCATCATAATGCAGCACAGGGTGCCCTGACCCACTTCATTCACATTACTGGCCTTGCAGTTGCTTACATAAGCCCTCCTGATGATAGGCAATCAGCTGAGACACACAGGTCTTACCCTGCCCACTATGTCAGGTTACCACACCAAAGGAAGGGAGTCCTGAGTGTGATGTGTGTTTGTGTGAGTGAGTGGGCCAGTGAGTGAAAGACGAAGAGACCTATCTGACTGGTCAACACTGTGTGTGCACATTTGTGTTAAAGCATACAGAATATATACCACCGGTTCAGACAGTCGGCTAGCCGGACTAAATATTATGTGGGTATGAGCTCACTGTCAAATTTAGCTGCTCTAGATCAAACTGGGTCAGAGTCTCAGTAATAGTTAGCAGCAGGACAAGCAGGAGAAAAAAAAACTGCTGCATGGTAACTGGTAAGAGCAGAGAGCTTGTCAATATCAAGTCTTTTAATGAATAAACTTATCAAATAACAAATTCTGAGTGACTGACATCCCAACAGACATCATGCACATCATGGAGCCAAAAACCAAGG